TATATTCTTCTTAAAGAGACGTGATAGCAAATTTATCATATTAGCTCTTTCAAATAATATGTTTGCCTATTATAGTTTACGCCCTACTCTATACGAAAAAGGCGTCAATTAAGAGTTAATAGTATATTTGATTGCGTCTTAATAATTTTTGGAATTGGGAATGTTAAAAACAAAATAAACGCTTTTTGAATGTTAGTGTTAACAATAAGATTTGTAAGCTGACTTTACTGGGGTACGTTTAACTATCCGATAGTAATTAGAATCTCTGAGTATAACCTCTCTAAATACGCCCTCGTACTTGATTTCGTCGAATAACCATTAAAAAATAAAAATTTCGTGTGTTTTCGCAACATATTTATATTACATCACTAATGAAACGGATTTAAATGAAATTCGAAATAGGGATCTAGCCAAAAAGCTAATGACTCCACCCGAAAATCTTGACTCTATCTCTTATTTCACAGCCAACGATACAAATAGAGCCGCTAGTAAAAGTTACTTATGCAACATAATGAAGGATATTGCCCATAAAGCCTCGGAGTATTACGCGCAGAGCGCTTCGCTGAAAAATTGCATCGGGGAGGTATTAACGTTGCACGTACTTCGCCGTTCGCATCGTCCTAGATTACGTGAAATCCTCGTTTTATGAGGAAAACTGGCCGGCGTAGTTTGCGCGTCTGCATTATCGCTCGCAAAAGGAAGCGTTCGGGTATATTCTCTTTGTTCGAGTCATAATTTTAGTGAGCTGCGTTCAGTACTGAATACTAATCACGGTCGTACGATACTGATGTAATTAACATACAGTTTCAAAAGGTATTACTGTTTTTATAAGATTTATCAGCGGCAGTGCCACGCAACAGTCTTAGCTGTTGCACGAATGGGCAGGTCCGTCCAAAGTATTTATATTTTTATTATAATACATATTTATATTATATTTACAAAGAACTCACAGAAGACCGGCGTGAAGCGTAAGTGGTATACTTCTCCGTTTCGTATGGGTGAATGAGGTAGCCGCGGCCCACTTTATTAAAAGGTGACAACTCATCTGCATCAGTGCGAGTGTTGCAAATGTCCGACTTTTTCATAAGTAAATGTTATTATTCCACAGGGGATTATTTAAATGATAAAATTAATGATAATTTATAAAAACCGTTTTCCTAGATTACATTAACTTAATGTAAAATGAAAATGAAATATTTGTACACCAGAAATGGTAGAACATAAAGGATTCACAACTTTTAAGACCTATATTGTACCATGTTCTAAGAAATAAACGTATCTTTCCTTCTTTCTTTCCGTGAGCGGCGGTTTTCACTTACCATCATGCTGTGGTGTTGTCATACGGCAGCTTTTACTGCAGTATGGGATGAAGACCTACTCGTACACGAAGGAGTTAGTTACAATGTAAAGTTTCGTTCGGCGAGTGAGGTAACTGGACTTTTTTTAAATCCATGGGCGGTGGTAATCACTTCGCATCACGCTAAAATGCCCGCATGCCATCTTCTCAACTAAAAATATTATGTAACTCTTTATCTAAAAAATGTGAGTTCAAAACGAGAGACTTACTTTTCATCGATTCCGTACTGGTAATTTACTTTATATTTGAATTGAATAGGTAAATTGTTTTTCACGTTCAAATATTCTTGAATATCATTGTAAAATGTTCTTTCGGGTGTCAACATACTGTGAAGTTGCTCACTAGGTGGCGTGCTAAAAATGCAAATAAGAGTGGATGTTTCTCGACATTTTCGCAGTGGCGATATTAGGCGCTAATCTGATCAGTGCGTCTGTAAATTAATCCACAACTTACATGAGCACTAAAAAAATTATAAAATATCATTTCACTAATTTCAAAGGTTGGCCACACTAAAACACAAACTTACCTTCGTGCATTCATCTGTGCAAAGGGGAAGCGGCATATTGCAAGTTCATTAGACGCAATTCGAACGGAGGTGGGGTGGAAATCTGTTTCCGATTGGACAACATCCGGGTCTAGATCGATTCGAGACACCCCCGGGGTGGAGGGTGGTCCACTGAAGCAGACAAAGTAGCGCATCCCGTAATAGATCGGAGTATGCAACGGAATTAGACGTTGAGTACCACGTCTGTACCTAATACGATAACTCTTAGTTCTAAAAGGTATCAATGCTTTAATGTAGTTTATTTTATTTGGTATACAAAACAGCAAACTAACATGAACATAACAATAAATTCAAATGAGGTAAGCGATTACGTACCGTCAGACTAAAATATGATTACCATAGCCTGATTATTCATATAAACAGGTACATTTTTTCTAATAAAACTAATTGATTGATTCCATCTCGGTTTATTTTAATACTAGCTGCTGCCCCCGACTACGTCTGCGTATGTCTTATTCTGATGTATAAGGTATATTATTGTAAAGTTTCATTAGAATCCATCCAGTAGTATTTGCGTGAAAGAGTAACAAACGGTGGTAGGTCAACTGCAGCAGCCTCTGCTGATGCACGAATGGGCAGGCTCGTCCGGGTAAGTATCACGTCTACACAGAAGACCGGCGTAAAGTGGAAGTATAATACTTTCGCGTTTCGTCTGGTGAGTGAGGTAGCCGGAGCCCGATTTTCAAAAGGTTGTCAACGCATCTGCTAACCCTCGGGTGTAGCAGATGTCCATGGGCGGTGGTATTCATTTAACATCAGGTGAACCACCTGCTCGCTGGGCAACTTTTCACATAAAAAAAACAAACATCCATTAACAAAAACAACATTAGTAAGGAGTAAGGATATAGAGCTGGACTTGATGCCATGTCTGGTTATTGTTAACTACGCCGACCGTCGGCTCGAATGTTATTAATTTTAACATGTGTCTTCAAATTCACTTGCTGGCATATGCATTTTTCAATTGTCATGCTTTGCTGGCCCTCCCGGGTAATATGTCAACCACGCAACCCAAGTAAAAGTAAAAAGTAAAGTAACAGCCTATACATGTCGTACCTCAACGGGACTATGCCCTGATACCCTCTATATAGAGGGTATCAGGGCGTAGTCCACCACGCGGCCCCACTGCGGATTGGCGGACTTCACATATCTTCGAAATATTTTTTTTTTGTTATTATTTCGAAAAGATGCAGGTTTCCTCACGATGTTTTCCTTCACCGCGGAGCACGTGATAAGACAGCACTTAAAGTTAAAAACTTCATTGGTGCCGGCACCGGGGATCGAACTCAGGTTGCTCGAGTATATTGAATTAAAGGTGAGCGCCCGGACACTGAGCTATCACGGCTCACTGAGCTATCACGGCTCCAACCCAAGTAACTATATATTTTTTATGATATCTTTAACGTGATTAATAAATATGAATCTACTGCGTGGTCGAAGATGTCGACTGCTATACCTTTAGAACACTACAATATCTGTCAGGGGGAGGTATGAAAAAGTTACATTTAACAATTTGTCTTATACACGTTAATATGAGTAATTTTAAAACCACCCGAAAACTAGGCTATTTCATAATATACCTAATATATATTTCATAGTTTTTAAATTAAAGACTTGTTTCAGTGACATTCTGTGACGTTTTAGTGATTTGTCGTGTCATAAGGAGACTATTCAATATAGTAGAGTAAAATATTTTCTCCCACAAATAGTAGAAGAAAAAGAAGAACGTAAGCAAACACAAACAAACCATCAATTGTATATCAAGCGTCCATTTTAAAATCTAAAGAATACGAAACAATTTAAATTTATGTCTACCATTAGACGATAATTAAAACAATTAAAACGTGTTGTAAAGCATTAAAAATATAAATCCATAGCTGTTTATTCAAAGAACAGTAGACAAAGCAGATTATCGAAATCTTAACACAAAAATTTTTATTAAGTGCTTCCTGCAAAACATGATTCTTGTATCTAACATGTTTTAAAAAACTAAGACTCAAATCAACGCAAGAACACGGATATGAGACAACGCATTATCAGATTTCTATATTGTGAGTTAGTTAAGGCAATGAAACAGTATTCGATGTTGCATTAATGGGCAAGTCCGTCCGGGGAAGTACCATGACAACTTTTTTCTTTAAATTTATGATGACTTATGCACATTTTCACCTTCGATCCTTAATTTTAAGGAACACCTAAAAAAAACTAGGTGCTATTTTCGTTTACACCACCGCTTAAGTGTCGCTAAAGCCTTAAGCGTGACACTTCCCGCGTTAATGATAGAAGAGTTGCTGAAGTTTCTTCCGCCAGTTCATCTCCCAGCGCCAACGCTTTCTGAAGTGGTAGTAACGATAGCTTTAGAAATTCTCCTATGCCCGGTTCCTGTATTCAACGAATGGCCGTTAGTTACATAGATTCACGACTTGTAGATTATAGGGACGCTAGTAACTGACTTTCCGTAGGTAATGCGACGGCCCGTGAGGAAAACGCCTTTTTTTTAATAAAGGGACCGGGCGTACACGCCTTTTATCCACAAGTCGTTATGAAAGTTACGAAGCTATGTAACTAACGGCCGTTCGTTGAATATAGGAACCGGGCATAGGAGAATTTCTAAAGCTATCGTTACTACCACTTAGTCCAGTCTACAGCTGCCGGTCGAGTCAAGGTCCAGCTCTCGGGTACCCTAGATCGGAATCAACAGCCCAAAACGAGGCTCCCAGGAGCCCTCCAGCTTAGTCACCCATAATCGAGGCCCTCAGCCAGGGTCGGATTTAGGGGAGGGCGACCGGGGCAACAGCCCCAGGGCCTCCACAAAAGAGGGACCACAATAGAGACTTCAAAAAACTTTCATATTCAGATTAGTAAACAACTTTTCCTTTCATATTTTTTTTTACGCTTTTCAATTTTACCTACAGTACTTTGTAAAAACATGATAACATTAAATATTAACAGAAAACAATAGAAAATAGACCTCCAGACTTCTAAATCTGGCCCTGCCCTCAGCGCCCGGCCACCTAAAACCCTGGACCTGTAAAGGCCTCCCAAGACCAACAGGGGACGATCCAATAAAAAGAGTCATACCTTCTGTTGTCGAGGTAGCTGTCGTACACGTCGGACATGCTTTTGTCGTCGTGCATATCGTAGAGGTCGCTGTAGATCGCCGACTCGAGGCGCGATGGGTCCATATGATAGTTTGGGTTCTCGTAGGAGAGAAGACCATTCTCTGCAACAAGAGTAACTTGACGTTAGAACAAAAAAATGATGTGTGTATGTTTCTTAAGGGCTGCAAAACTGCTGGACAGCTTTCGATGAAGTTTTCTAGCAAACTTCAGATTAGATTGGTAGGTGTTAAACTTTGTGAGGGATAATCAGTGCTGCGGTTCACCTGACGTTAAGTTATCACCGCCACCCATGAACATCTACCACACGTTAAGGGTTGCAGATGCATTAACCGGTTACCTCACTCACCAGGACAAACGCGAAAGTATACACTCCCGCTTCTGTGATGCCGTGATACTTTTCAGGATGACTTTGCGTATTCGTGCATCAAAGACTACTAAGTGGCCCCATCACCATTGTTTTCAATGCTTAGTTTTTGTCGGAGTGAAACTTCTAATGCGTCCTCCAACAAGGTTGCGTTAAACTTCAACGCTACCATAGAGGGGATATGAAAGCGCTGTTGCGTTAAACGCGCAACGCTCCCGGGGAGGGGGAATAGAAAGAGACAGAGCGAGAGTGAATGCGTGGCACTCGGAGTTACACTTCTTCCTCGCGGAGGGATTTCACGCACTATTTTTTTCATTAGTTTAACTATCATCTGAAAATTGACTAGTTCACGTCAGTATGCCTGATGTAAAGTTTTCAATTTCAACACCATGATGTAAAATATTCAGAGAAAAGAAGTTCTGACAGATGCACGCAACGCTTCCGCTGTTGCACAAATGGGCAGGTTCGTCAAGGGAAGTATCTCTTTCTCGCAGAAGACCGGCGTGAATTGGAAGTATAAAACTTCTGCATTTCGTCTGATGAGACAGGTAACCAGGGCTAATTGGACACGTGGGGTACGTGTCCATAGGTGTTGTAGATTGAAAGTACAGTCGAGAAGAAGGCATCAAGCATCATCTCTTACGATACGCACTTTTATACATTATATGTGAACAATTTTGTGCATGTTGTGTTAACGTCAGAACATCTGTTCAGAGCCTAATAAAATTTGTTAACGAAACAGTTCAAAAACTATTGACACTTGGAATAATTACAACTCTGAAAATATCAACTAATTCATCAAGAAATAACGCGAAGAAGCCGCAGGCAACGGCTATTAGTTTCAAATGATTAGAAATAAAATGGCGGACCTGTGCAGGTCGGAAGGTACGCCAGACATCGCAACTTGTGGGGCGTCGTAAGCCGATACGGAAGCCTTGTTGTGTATTCATCTGCCGCATTACAAGTGCCCAACAAATCCCTATGTCTCCGGCTGCGATCAATTTTTATTCGCGTTATGGTTTATGCATGTCTGCCGCTAACAGGCGTATACAGCGCGGCTGTATGTCCAATGCTTGCCATTGATAGATTCGAAAGTAAGTAAAACTCTATGGCAGAATGGATTTAAAGCATTTGCTAAAAAAAAATGGCAGCACTTAAATTCGGTGGGCGGGAAAGTCTGTTATTTTATTAATGTAAATAAAACTGACAATTGTACTCTGTAAACTCAACAGCTTATTACTTAAATAATTCCGGTAAGCAATCGTTTACTTGAAAGATAAATATATCTGACGGATATAAATAACGTAGTTTTTTTCCCCGCACTTTACGTTTTCGTAAAACCACTGATGCAGTATTTTATAAGTATTTAACTATTGAAAATATAACGATAATATTGCATAACAAGTAGTAGAAAATCGCTTCAATATCAGCATTGACTAGCACAGAGGCTTTAAACCACACCGTTAGTCTCAAAAAGAAAAGTACTAACAAAGTAACGGTGTACCCGAAAGCTACCCGATCGGTTTGAAAAGTCCATTTAAAAGGGCATTCCATACCGACATCGGTGGCAACGTAAACTTGACGCGCAATCTCTTTAACGCAAGTCGCTAACAACCCTAAAACATAACGGTTACGAGTATGTCCGGCGTGGCTTAACGACAATGTTATGTGGTACGTTGTTCGTTGCACGCTAGGGTTGTCAACTCCGCCATAGGGCTGTTAAAATGTAACGAAAGAGCCAATGCTGTCGGGTTTAGGGACGCTAGGGTTGTCAACTCCGTAACAGTAACAGGGCTGTTACAACGTAACGAACTATCCAATGCTGTCGAGCTTAGGGTTGCGCTGTAAAGAAAATTTATGTTTACCTCATACTGCATGTGGGAACTGCGTTTGCTTACTTCGTCGCTAAGGGATTTTATTTGTTATTCGAAATTCGAACGTCAAGAAAATGGCTTTGATTATTTTTTTGATATTCGATTGCGTGGTTTTTTTTCTTAAAGTGAAAAAGGGTTTTTACTTTTATGCGTGCTTTATAGATCATAAAAACGGGGAGACAGATTGGGAGATAAAAGAGTAGTACTTGAGTTTCTTTTTGCTTTTTTTTTAAACATAATAAGATAAGAAAATGATCAATATGTATTGCTTACACAAACATGAAATTCCGGTTGCGAAGTACACTCGGACACTCACTAATAATTTTATATAATTACATATTTAAAAGTTCATAAAAAAATTCTGATATTTGGCAGTTTTCATATTATAAGCTGTTTCTACTGAATTTGTATGGTATTCTGTATGGTTTGGATATTTAGTTTGTTTATAACCTTAGTCGTTTACTGAATACAACTACATTTATATGACGTTAAAATAGTATTAATAAAATTGATTTTAGACTAAACTTATCCCGAAACGTATCAAACATTATTTTAGCTTAATTTTCACATCAAGTGATTTTATTGATGAGATAATTTTAGAGTACATAAAAGAGAGTAAAAACTAAACCTTACAATCTTTTTATTATGCAGGTCTCTATCAGTGAGCTGCTAACGACGTTTAGGTAAGGATAAGGAAAAAAAATTCTCATACAATAACCGCGTGTAATAGGCAATGGACCATAATAGTAAAGTTGGGTAATAACATGAAACCCTTTCCTTTAAACATTACACAAAAGCGCCCCTGCTTCGTATAAATAGATCGATACAGGGCAACTTATTGTTTTGTTTCGAAGTGATTCCACCTGGACACTCATTTAACGAAATTGCGAGTAGTTTTGAAAGTTATTTTTCAGAAATTGCAATTAATGTCACATGCACGTTAAAATCCTCTCCTATTGATGCAATTAATATAAAAAAAAAATAATGTTACCTATTGTCGACAAACGTTTAAATTTAATCACATAGATACTAATGATATTTTTTAAAAGTTTTGAATTCTATTAATCTTAAAAATACAGGAGATTTGTGGGGCATGTCCATAAAATTAATGAGCACAATAATGCCGTATATTGCACCATATTTGGCAAATATTTTTAACAAATGTATAGATTCTGGAATATTTCCAGATCTTATGAAATTCAGTAAGATAATCCCCGTTTTCAAAAGTGGGAATAAAAATGTTCCAGGAAATTGCAGACCTATCTCCGTATTGCCATCTCTGAGTAAAATTTTTGAAAAACTAATTTTAAATCAACTCTTAGTACATTTTAATATGAACAAAATATTCCACAATGAGCAATATGGATTCACTAAAGGCAGATCGACAACACATGCGGGTGTCGCACTTGTCAAACATATTTATAACGCCTGGGAAAGGTCACAAGATGCAATAGGTGTCTTTTTCGACCTTTCAAAGGCTTTCGACTGTGTAGATCGTGGTCTTTCCAAACCCTCCTTCAAAAGCTAGATTATTATGGCATTCGTGACATCGCCCTCAATGTCATTGCCTCTTACCTTAATAATAGAATTCAAAAAGTATCTATAAATGATGTTAATTCCGCAGGGTCCCCCATGAAAATGGGTGTCCCACAAGGATCAATCTTGGGTCCATTATTATTCTTAGTGTATATAAATGATTTCCCCTTTTATGCCAGTGAGTTATGCGATGTACTGTTTGCTGACGACACATCTCTCATTTTTAAGGTTGACCGAAACGTGTCGAATTATGACGACGTGAATAGTGCACTTTCGCGTATCCTCCACTGGTTTACCGTTAATAATATGGTGTTAAATGCTAAAAAACTAAATGCCTTCTTTTTACCCTTCCCAGCGTAAGAAGGCAAAGTTTTAGCTTAACATTAAATAGCGTAACCTTTAATCCTGTTGAGTCCGCTGTATTCTTAGGAATTACAGTGGATTCAAAGCTCCAATGGAGTCCCCATCTATCATCTCTTGCGAACAGGTTAAGCTCCGCTGTTTTTGCAATTAGGAAGGTTAGGCAGCTATCAGACATCGACACTGCCAGACTGTTTTATTTCAGTTATTTCCACAGCATCTTGTCTTACGGCATTTTGTTGTGGGGTAGTGCATCTGATATAAATTCTATATTTATTCTTCAAAAAAGAGCTGTCCGAGCAATCTATAACATCGGAGCCCGGAATACACTCAGAGACCTTTTTAAAGATATTAATATATCACTGTTGCGTCTCAATATATTTTTGTAATATTTTGTATGTTAAAATAATATTAATAGTTATCTAAAGAATAGTGACAGACATAATCTAAATACTAGAAATAAGGACAAACTAACTACGCGATTGTTTCGTTACAAAAAGTAAACAGGTCGTTCATGGGGCAAGGGCGCATGTATAATAAAATCCCACAGTCGATATTAAGTCTGCCACTGATGAATTTAAACGAAAAGTTAAAAGTAAACTTATGGCTAAAGCATATTATACTATTGCTGAATATCTCGACGACGCCAATGTGTGGGGTTGATACTCATGTAGGCTAAAACAGACTATTATACCTGTAACATTATATTGTAAACTGAACCTTTAAAAAAGAGCAACTGTTGAATTTCTTGCCGGTTTCTTCTCAACAGAAACTGCTTTCCGAACCGGTGGTAACTTACGAACATATTAATTTCCTTGTAAAATTTCGACGTTTCATAACAACGCGCAAGCGTCTATGTGAATAAAGATATTTTATTATTTATTATTATTATTACTCAAATACATGAAATGTTGTAATCTTCACGCAAATCACGAAGTTCTTAAGTCCGCGGATGAATTGTCAAAGT